CAATTAAGGTGCTTCGCCACCAATCTCTCACGGTATATCCAGATGCCAGACTCCACAGCATACTTCAAAGTTCAAGGCCAATTCAAGGTAAAAGCTGCAATTTCCTGTTATTCCCACAGCCTGTGCCTATGGAGATCTTCGCTCTATTTCAAGGCTCGTGTCCACGTGAACGACTCACTTGTTTTTAGATATTCCGCTCATGCGCTTTCGCATGATGATTATCTTCGTGCCATTCAGTATAACACTGCATCATTTTTACTTATATTTTAAGGCTCGTGTTCACTCACACGACTCACTTATTTAGAGGAACTTGCAGCTTGTGCCAAAGCGTACAACTCACAGTCAAGGAACTGCAGCGTGTACCTAAGAGCACGACGCAGTCACAGTTTCCCGACGTGGCACTACTCGAAGAAGTGGAGAGAGCTTTACAACCTCTCCCCTTTCTCAGGGTAACCTCCCATCAAGGACGTCACGAGGGTCAGGAACCTTGCAACCTCCTACCTCCAAACGAAGTGCACACTAACTAATATAAGTTGTTTTCATGAGTCTATATTGTTAAAAAATAAAGAGACCTCATGTAGTATATTATAAATAATTTTATAATAAGAAATAAATAATTGAAATACTTCATAAAAAAATTATTTAAATCATCTAGATATTCGATTTTAGTTATAATACAGATCTTAATGAAATTTTCTTCTTTTATTCCCACAATAAAATCTAAACTATATATTATGAGTTATTACTTCTTAACTATAAACTATTAACTATAAGTATTTTATAATTATATTAATTGACATTTTGTTCGGGATTGAAGCAATTTCCAAGACCATCGATTGTCGACATCGCCAGTTTCTCTAGTTCTCAGGTTTCTGGAAAGACTTTGGACGAATTATCGTGTACTTGATATGTTTTGGTTTCAAATGGCCTACAATGTTTATGGTCTTCGAGCAGTAATGTCGCTTGGAATTCTCCAAACTTCTTACACCTTGTTTTTTCTTAGAACTTTTGAAACATCTAGATTTTTCTTTGTGCGCCTCATGTAATATTCCATTGCAGCAACAACGATGCTTTGTTGCCAGCTAAGTAAGCTGCCGTATCATAACCGGTACGCGCGGGCATTCACATAAGACATACACACATTGTTCTATAATACACCGAATGATGCCTCTTGCATTAGCCAATCGACGGCCCTCTGAGGAGACCTCCCATATCGCTAAGTCCAAGAGAAAGAGCAAGACGACCAGTTGAAGACGCTCCCCCCACCCTTTGACACTTTCCCGATTTTAGCATATTCAAGGCTAAACACGGATGGAAGTGGAGATCAAAGTCGCACTCTGAGTGGAACCGGGTCAGTGAACTATTTAAGAAGGACAATTACCATGTACCACCACTTATTCTAACGAAAAGTTACAACTATTCCCGAGAAGGAGGAACAGGGTAAAAGTCGTTCAGCTGAGTCTTGTAAAAATAGCTTTCATTCTGTGATTCTTGACCATAGATACATATAATCTCGCCAAGCAAGTAAAGTCCAAGGAATGAGATTACCGTCATCCCAAGAAGGAGAGTCAAGGAAAGTTCAAGTGCAAGCAGTTCGTGGATGGAAGTTTCCCATCAAGCCGTGAGGAGAAACTGAAAATATCACACAACTTCAAGTAAGTCTACATTAGTGTTAATTCTTCGCTTCACGGCCCATTCAGAAAACGGACCTACAGGCAGTTAGTGTCCAGAAGCTTTCCGCGCATGCTCACTTCCCAAAACCAGCAATACGCGCCATTGAGTGGCTCCCTCTAACCTCTATCTCAGGCTCGTTTTCACTCACACGGCTCACTATTTAGAGGCAACAGCAACATGTGCCAATATCACAACGCAGACAAGAACTGTAGCGTTCGTTCAGAGCACAACAAACGATCATAACCTCTCAAGTGGCAATATTCAATAAGTGTCAATGACCTATCTCTTTTCACAGTAAATCACTATTTCACCCGTTACGTCCAGGGAATAAGGAATTTATGACCTTCTCGTTCTCCAATAGAAATATATCGCAACGCCACATTCATTATTGAGAATAATAAAGGTTCATTCATAATCTCCTCAAGAATAATAATCCCTAAATTGGAAAGTAAATGGATTCAACAGCAAGAAGAAATACATATGTTAATGATTGAATCAGTGCATTAACCTTACCACTTGCTCACGCATTCTTCCACACAACATCTAGTGGTTTTCTCTCTTAGAGGGTTGCGAAGTTGCATCTGAAATTTCATCTGGAGTGTCGTCGCGCAATGATAACTTATATTCTTAAGCCAGGTTCTTTAATACTGATATGCGAGTCCATTGATTTTTAGCCATAATCTCAAGGTCAAAGAGAAAGTATGTTAGTTCGGCACTCCTGAGTACGGATTTTTCTGGATTCTTGTGTCTTTTTCCTGAATGTTTTCCTAGATTTCTCTGTTGTTATTGGCTTGCACTATAGAGATGTGAGAGGTCGTAAATCTCTCGATACCTCTTGTTGCGTTGTGTTGCTATGCGGAAAATATTGCAGAACGTTCGAGTCTAACGCTTTAAAAGTTTCGAGAATTCTGGGGCAGCAAAGCTTTAGAAGGTAGGAGAATTCTAACCGATTGCTATGCTGAAACCAGATAAACATTATAGGACACTCGAAGGTCTAGCTTTGGAATATTCGAGAATTCTCGGAGTCAAATGTCTACAAAATTAGAGAGCTAGAACACTTATACATCTCCAAGAGCCTAAGCTGTATTTAATGAATTTCAATGTTTCATATCTCGTACTTCCTAAGATTTTATTATATTATTTTCTTATTAAAAACATTAAGAATTAAAGAAAAAAATCATTTAAAAGAATAACAATATTAAGTATAATAATGTATTTAAATCCAAGTCCAATTGTCCACTTCATATTCAATTCAACCTTTAGTTTTTCTATAAAAATACTTTGTTGATTATTTTTGTCATCTTGACATTTGATTTGAGCAAGATAATGTTATTTCCATATTAAAAGAAAGTTAAAAAAAATTATAACTTCCGATATGGACAGCACCGAATTAACTTTTTCACTTAGGAAAATTAACATTAATAAGCTTGGACTTATTTACGTTTCATGTAGTCGCGTAGTTATTATTTGTGTTTATTCATTCTTATGTGAATATTCATTCTGAAATATAAAATATTTGTTTTAGATTATTTAATTTTAAATCTTATATATTACCTAATTTATTATTAAAATGCATGGAAATTATGTAATAAGTAAATTAACATTTATATTAATATTAAACAACAATTACATAACTAGAAAATTTATTAATATATTTTAGTTACACATTTTTCTTTTTTACCTTGTATAGATATAAGAGAAATATTTGGAGATTTCGTACAATAATAATACCATAAAATAATTAATTATTATTATATTCTTAAAATAATTTATAAAAAATTTTATAAAAATATTTTTTTAATAAAATATTTTATATAATAGCTTTTAGTACTTTCAGTCTTTTAAACTTAGTGATGTCTATATTATTATAATGGTATTGTCTAATCATTCTAATCAACATTTTTATTTCGTTGATAAGTTTAACCTATTGTTCTAACTATATAAAATATTTGATAATAATATTACTTAAATTCATGATTATTGTAATTATAAATAAATTCTTCTAAATTACATTTGATTTGATTAAATATACGCTTTAATATTTATAAAACTTTTATTTCGTTATTGGATTTTAAAATCTGATTTATCTGAATATATTTTTTATAAAGGCAATAAAAAAATTTAACAGAACAAGTTATACAATATAAAAATTTTCCTTTAAATAATTATTTACAATTTACTTATATATAATATAAAAAAATCTTAAAATAAATCCAATAAGATTATAAAAAATAAGTTTGTAGTAAGTAAATAAATATAATAAAACATAATTGTAAATATTATATAAAGTACAAACAGGATATAATTACCTTTAGAAATAATTACCTTTATAATTAACTTTAGAAATTAAACAAATTTATTTTTTATGAAAATCGGTAAATAGTAATTTATCTGGATAGAAGTAGAACAAATAGAAGAACAAACCCACTCAAAATGTATGAAACATAGCTAATACTACTTTGTAAAAAAAAAGAAAGTGAATGCTTATAATCAATGGAAAAATTTTTTGATCGTCCACATTGTTTTCGACAGCGTATACTGAAGAAAATATAAAAAAAGTGTGCCAACATTTTACAATACGATACGTTCCCAAAAACATATTTGATATTTCGATAGCGTGATTTTACTATTACATATTCTATTTCATCCCGATCATCATCAAACTTATATATAATCTATTGTCTATCCTTATTCGTTCATTTTCATCAATAGTTTCTACATATTTATTAAATAATAATTTGTGAAATTGAAAAAAGGACATATTTTTTAATAAAAAATTATTTTCTAGATATACCGACCGATAATGTGGATTACAGAATACCCACTACTTTGATAGATAGCTGCAAGGACTGGCAACCATCCGGTATTTTTCATATTATATATTATTGTTAACAACGTATCAACCGTTCTTAAACATTAATATATATTAAATCTAATTTAAAAATAAATACTTAGCAATTGAATAACATAAAAGACCTTTTTTAAATAATAATTTTTAACCTCGAAAGTCATTATTTTAATATTATGAAAGAATATTTTTAATGCATAAATTTCTACAAAGTAAACATTTTCTGATTTTTTAGTAATATTAAAACTATTTGTATGGCTCTATAATTGAATCATGTACCTTATTATTACTTCTATGAGCATCAAATTATGAATTATTATGAAACGTAAAAATAATTTTTAATCTACTTTAAATACATAAGAACTAAATATTTAGTATACAACTACTATTTTATAATTTGATGATTGATACTGGCATATAAAATAAATTTTAATTTACGTAGTTTTATATATTATATTATATCATTTAAATTTTATAGATTCATCAATTCCTAGACTGACAATTATATCTAGTTAATCAAATAACATTTAATTTAAAAAATCTGCTATAGAGTATATGAAAATATTTCTGCCCATGTTGTTGGAATGTCCTAGCAGAATAGAATAAGAGCAAAAAGCAAGTTTTGGTAAAATAGTTCTGGTAAGTTAATAATATTGTATGTGCATAATTTTTTTGATCTTTTGATTGTGAATTATAGTAATAATTATATATACTTCAATAGAGTGTTAATTTTTTATTAATGTAAATTATGTTTCATTAGCGAATATTTACCATTTGTTTAGTATTTATTGCAAAATTATTAAAATTATTACATATAAAATTAAAAATTAAAAAATTAAAACTATCCTTTTTAACTCTACATCGAACTAATTACAATAATACCTTTTAAACATAATCGGGAAGAATATGGTTTCCTAGATCTGTAGATGCAAGAAGGGTATGGTCATGTGTTACGAAAAAAATATTTTATTCAGTGGCACAACACTTAGCAGTGACACTTTTTTTAATGAAAATGTGTTTAACTTTTTATAACTAAGGTATAATTTTTTATACATTTCATTCTAAATCAATAAGTATTCTAAAAATCAAAATAGAAATATTATATAATACAAATCATTTTATACAATTCAAAAGTTAAAATGATGGTTGAAGTATTCTTTTTTAATATCTATAATTTAATACCTACAGATTGTATTGGAAATACACAATACTTCGACAGAAAAAAGACATTTACTTTTCAATTATTATATATCGTAAAAAAAGTATATTAATATTATCTTATGTCATTTTTCCTCCTTCAAATTCCTAATATCGAGAGTTTATTAAATCTCGTTTTTTAGATAAACTTTTTCCTCGCATTATTTTGTATGAAATGACAGAAATGGTAGATATTTAAAGTACACAATTAATTTGATGTTAATTCATACAATTAACATAATATATATAATTTATTGCTTATAGCAAATTGTATCGAACATAAATATTTGAATAAAATAAAATAAAATAAAAATTTTAAACTTATGTATCTAATTTAATAAGATTCTATTAAATTTTTAAAACACCGGTAAAGATTAAATACTTTGTAAATGATATATATTCTACAAAAAAACATGATTATTATATTGTCAAATACATTGATTTTCAGTTGAAGCACCTGGAATTGAGCCGTGATTGATTCGTGAATATTTATATACGAATCTTCGAGTACAACCTATTTGGAAATCAATGCATTTTTTGATGCAGTACAATGTGAACGAACTGTAAGTCTATATAACTCCAGGATCAAAGTCAAAAAATCAAGAAGTTGCTGTAGCTGAGAATAAATTTTTCAGGCTAATGTTGCTTTTGGGCAATTGGAGTAAGTGTTGTAAAAATAATTAAAAATAAAATTAAACTAACGAATAAACATTAGTTTAATCCTTAAAAGGATTAATAAATTAGTTTAATCCTTATTAATAAATTGATAAATAATTATTCTATTTCATATGTAGGATATTTATGTGTAATATGCATGCTTTTGGATTATCTAAAAATATTTGTTTAGAATTTTCAAGAAAACAATGTGTTATTGCAAACTTAACCAAAGCTATTTATTAATAATTAAGTATGTATATATTAACAAAAAAAATCGTAATCTAATTATAATTTTAATATGATACTAATGATCGTCAGAATAATAATCTAATGTATTTAGAGTTCATATTTATGGTATTTCAAATAATTTAAAGACATACACGATATATGTGTAATAAATTAAATAAATTTCAAGTCTATTACAATGTTATTGCAATGAGTCAATTCAGTTTAAAAATTGTTGAACCTTGAGCCATTTGCGAATTACGTATATAAGTGTATAGATACTAAAAAATATATGTTGAAATCATGTAAGTACATAATGTTTCATTAATTTTTTACTTACAAATTTGTATGTTCAATTATTATCCTTTTTATTCTGGTTTTTGTATAAAATCAAATTTATTATGTGTATTTATATAATATAATTCCAATATTTTTATATAAAAATTATGCATATTTTTGGAATATCCTTAAATCGTTTTATGTAATGCAGATGGTTGAGATTGTAATAAACAAATTATTGAATTGTAATATATCATATCATGGCCATGAAAAAAGATAAAATATGAAAATATTGGGGAAATTTGCAAATACTTTTCACGTGTATATTGAAGAATAATGCGATTTGATATGTAATTGTATTTTTAGAATGGAAACACTAAGAATACTACAAACGAGCTGGCAATTTAAATATTTATGTTTTTTAATTCGAATGTATTAAATATCAATAATTACTTGGAAAAATTATGAAGCTTAAATAAAACTAATTTCGTACATTAATGATTCTAAAAATAAATATTCCTTATGATCAATAAAAGTATTCAAAAGTGTCGACAGGTAGAGGAGTATAAAATTAATTGTAGGTGAATAAAGTACATAAGTATAAATTTTACATACTATATATTAATCATAATTTACTCAGATAAGTGGGACCTCAACCAGTGGGTCTTACCATCTGTATTAAACATGTTTGGTTAATGTCACAACGTCAATTTTTTAAAGTCCACATGCAGGTTTCACCTTTTTATTTTATTTACTCTAGATGTTACGAAAGTTCAGTAAACGACTATAAATTATATCACTTACAATGAAATAAAAATTATAACTTAAAAATATAATATAGAGGTTTAATAATGGTTGAAATAAAAATAAACAATTATTAGTACTCATATTTCGCTTTTCGGAAATGTGCGTCACATAATGTAAATGTATCACATAGATCTACTTGCACGTTTTTTTTTATATTGTCACTAATAACATGTTGATCAACAAGATATTTAATAAATACAATCTCATAGTAATGTTGCCTTTTTTATTATATTATATATATAAACTAAAAATGAAAAAGATAATCATTCGCCACAAATGGAAACATTCTATGTTATCATGTCATGCATAAACGTTGCCTTCACGTTAGACCTAACACACAAAAAGAAAAAATTGCAAATGAAAAATGGTAACAAATAGTTTTATTTTTTAAAATACGCATTAAAAATGGCTGACGAATGATACTATGCTTTAATATTAAAAATTTTCTGATTATATTGTAATTATTATAAAGTGTTAAGGTGAAGGAGTATTTAAAAATAACATTAAATAATACAAAGTCAAAACGTACTTTTTCCGTATATATACATATATTCTAATTTTTGAATATTTTACTGTACCGTAAATAATTTTTGATATTTTTTCAGCTGAAATGAAGTTTTAAATCTCATAATTGAATAAAATTATCAGCATGCATATTTATATTATAGTACCTCTGACTATCGTAGCTTATAATAGGTATATTCTATTCAATTCTGGTTTCAAACTTAATCATACTAATTTGATACCGACTGGTATTTCAGGTATTTTACTGGTATTTCGATATGGTATTTCAAATAATTTAAAGACATACACGATATATGTGTAATAAATTAAATAAATTGCTAGGTTATTACAATTTTATTACAATAAGTCAATTCAGTTTGAAAATTGCTGAATCTTGAGCCATTTACGAATTACGTATGTAAGTGCATAGATACTAAAAAATATATGTTGAAATCATGTAAGTACATAATGTTTCATTAATTTTTTACTTACAAATTTGTATGTTCAATTATTATCCTTTTTATTTTGGTTTTTGTATAAAATCAAATTTATTATGTGTATTTATATAATATAATTCCAATATTTTTATATAAAAATTATGCATATTTTTGGAATTTCCTTAAATCGTTTTATGTACTAAAAACAATTTGTATTAAAATTTATAAGAAATGAAAAGTAATTTTATTAAAGTATTTAATATTTTAGTAAAAATTTATTTGTGAATAAAATATCTATTAATTAAACACTAATATATCAAATAAATTACTGAACCATTTCAGTTTAATTTTAAATAAGCAGTCATACTATTATTTCTATTTTTCTAAATCGTTTATCAGTATATATATATATATATATATATAATATATATATAATAATATATATATATATAATTTTATTTTATTAAGTAATATTTTTTCATAATTATAAAAACAAAAATTTGTCTCGTTTTTTAGCTATAAATTTAATAAATATATGGTTTCAAGATTAATTTTGTTTGAAGTAATGTAAAATAATAATCGGCAAATAAATTAAAGATCATGAAGTACGTACAATTAAAAAAAGAACGCCCAAAAAATATTTAAAAAGCCATATTGATTCGATGTATACATTAATATACATATTCGTTGTCAAAAAGTCCAATATGATTGAAGAAAGCATAAGGACAAAAAGAAGGAAAAAGAAAATAATGATCAATTCAAAATATAAATAAATACAGGCCACAATAAGAACAAATAATATTATATACATTGTATAATTGTATATATTGTATTATAATGACATTGTTTTCCCTTGAAAATATGTCATTTGCGTTTAATAAATTTTTTCTCTGTCATAATTGAATAATCGCAGCATAACATTTAATATCAATTTTTAATATTAAATAAAAACTGGCACAAGGTTATCTAAGATCATCTTAATGATAGTATAATTTTTCTCATAATATGAAAAATACTTATACTGATTGTATTCAATTAGTTAAATAATTGAGAAAAATATGATCAAATATTTATAAAAGCACCCAAAGATACATTATCTGAAACTTCCATATATATTAGGTATATCTAATTTGTCTAAGGTAATAGAATAAATTATATAATAGGTCTTAGCGTGTAATATAATTATAAAATATATAAACTAATAATTCAATGTAAATTCTTTAACCGCCTTAATCAATTAATTTCGTGTACATATAAATATAGATTTAATTCTTTTATTTTATATGTTTACATTTTTTTGTCTAGAGTGTCAGAAATCTTTACATTAGATTCATGATTTTTTTATGAATTTAAATCTATTATATAATATCACGATAATTTTGTTCAAACTATTAAAAATAAATAATAGCGATAGTTAGAAAGTTAATCTATTCTTACTAACCATGATAATGCATAAAACAAAGATAAAATCAATAAATATAAAATATTTATAGCTTTCATAGAACACTAATTATCATTTCTTAATAACCCTATTTATCCTTTGGATTGAATGTTTGCTCAATTCCATTGCAATACTTAGTGTTTCTAAACAAATGCTATGAATTTTAGTCATTGATTCATGTGAAGTAACATGACAGTCACATGTGAATTGAAATATATATCCATTATTATTGCATAAAAATAATCGCTTTAACAATTGAATTATGTATATAATATTTATTTTATCAATTATAAATATATGATAAATTCATGCTATTAGGGCGTAAAACATGAAGTTACTTTGAAAGTACATGTTCCATAAAATTAATATTTAAGACATAGTTATTAAAAATATGTACTTTTGAAAATACTATAAAGTTATTGAACATGTCTCAAACAAATTTAATAAAAATATAATATCCTTGTGCCATTTAGTTCTTTCAACATTCTTAATTTCCATTCTTTCTGCTTTTCTTTCTACCGCCTACTTAAATTTTTTTATAAATATCTTAAATATAAGCGCCTTTCTCGTCATGTCTTTAGTGCAATATTATATGAAATAATCGTTTACAATATTATATTATATATATAATATTTATATATATAATATTCTACATTATAATCCTAAGTTCAAAAATAATAATATACACATACATATACACACAAACATACATACATACATACATACATATATATATATATATGTATATTTAAATTTAATGCATATAGGTGTTGTTTGCATTCGCGTTCTCACATGTATGTGTCTCATATACTATCGACCTTTTTAATATTTCAATATTTCTTTTACTCTTACTCAATTCTCTTATTCAATTTTCTTACTCAATCATTTTTATATTCGCTTAAGCAGCGCTTTCAACCACTGACTTTAATCCTGAAAAGGATATCGCAATTCCCTATCGCACTATTTCAGATATATAATATTTTGTGAAGGCAGACAAAAATTTCACATATACATTATAAATCATTAGTTCTTCACAGATTGAAATTATTATTGCATATCTCGATTATTCTTTTTTAAACAATACATACTTGCATGCATACATTCACACATGTATATATATTATATATACATATGTAGGCCTTCGATCATTATACATTTACAACTACTCAAAACCACTAAATTTAGACAATATACTTTATCGCCTGAAAATAAGTTTGGATGTAAATTTTTTCTTTTCTTTAATTTGAACACAACCATTTTCTTATTCTTTTTTATTAAATATATCACAAACTGCCGGTGGATTTTTCAGCTTCTGGAACTCAACGTTCAATCCTGTTTACATTTAAATAAGAAACATGATATTACATTTAACTATTTCTATTCGTTTTTAAATTGGTTCGATAATCGCACTTTCAATTTTAATAATAAACCATATAAAATATCTTTCGATGTTTTAACAATAACTTATTTAAGTCCCACAATATAATTTTCGATACAAATTAAGTACATAATTTATGCTTTAAAATTTTTACAAATTTGAAGTATCCTCT